CCCCAAAACCCCAAAACCCCAAAACCCCAAAACCCCTTTTAATATATATAAAGTTGAATTAGTCAAGAGTATACGTCATTGGGTTAAACAGTTCTGACCTCGATTCGTCATAGGGGTTATCCCCCTCACTATCATACCTTCCTCTTTGATCCACACTCCTATGGTCTAGTTGGGAGGGATTTTGGCTCTTGAAAGAAGTATCATCGAGGAGCACAGAATTTGCTTCGAAATTTTCAGTTTCAAAATTTGAATTTTCCTCCTTGCTTTTCGGATAATTTTTGATATCCTTTTTAAACTCTTTATTTTGAGAGGTACTATAATCGTCTACTACTTGGAAATGCTCAGAACTAGGTTCATGATCATCCTCCTCTTGCTGAAGGAAGTACCTCTCTGGTTTTTCTTCCTGAGGCTCGTAAGGCTGTAAGCCTAAAGATGTCTCATTTTGTTCGGTTTTCTCTTTTAATTCAGAATCTTCAAAAATTCGAGAGTTTTTGAAATTTTTGAATTCTGAATCCTCTTCAAAATTTGGTCAGTACTTCAATGAGAATTGAGAATTATCAATGCTCCCTAGAGAGGTTTGCTTGCTATAATTCTGAAAATTATCAGAAGGATTTTCTTGCTTTTGAGCATGTTTAGTTTCTGACTCTGTTTGATGGTCAAACAGAGTCTTCACCTCCTTCCTTAAGCCACCAGGAGCGTCTCCTAGATTAGGAATCGCTTTATGGACAGGGCTCATAGATGTATTCAGGAGGTTTGCGTTAGTAATCAAGCTATAGCCATTATTTTCATCAGTGTCGGCACAGTATCTGCCATTACTCCTCGGCTCGACTTTACTTGAGGTTCTAGATTCAGATTTACTTCGTATGGATTCCTTCAAGATCTTCTTGCCAAGTTCTTGGAGTAGGGTCTCATCTATGCTGTCGGTATTGTTCTCAGAGATATGAGAGAGATCGTGGATACTTTCTTTTTCAGAATTTTCAGAGCCTGATTTTGAATTTTTATCAGCCTTTTGAAAATTTTTGTGGAAACATGCATCCCTTCAGAAGTTATTTCACTGTGATAATAGGGTTAATTGCGTCTTTTCCAATGGAAAGAAAAGAGAGATCGGTGGCTCTTGACTCATCATTAGCATTGGATAGGCTATAGTTATGGCACCGGGAGTCTCTACTCTTGGTCACTACTTTCTTCAACTTCTTGATCTGTTTGTTCTGAGCAAGGACCAGTTTTATAGTAGCATACAGGACATCCTTCAGCATTTTATTCTCATAGGGATTTTGTTCATCGTGCTCACTATTCAAAGATTGGTTATAATAGTTAAGTATCTCTATAGCATCATTATCCTTTTTCTTCGGCTGGCTGCCTGATGAGATTCGTACAAGTCTATTATATCTAATTTCCTTCCTTCTATTGAACTCATCATTTTTGGTATTGTTAACTTCAGTGAATTCAGCAGTTAAATTTGAGGACTGATGGCTCCCCATCCTGTTGGAGTTCAGGTCAAGAAGAGAAGCCTTTTTGTTAATTTTTCCTAGAAAATAAGCATGATTTACTCACCTCTTTTTGAAATAGCTGCAGAATTATGACTCATTTGGGATTGGAGAGGGTGGAGTAAATGCAGAGGGAGCTTTAGCTGATCTTCATGCTTTCTTCCACAACTGTTTTGTCTTGAATCAGTCTTAGCAAGGGTATTGGACATTAGTAAGCTGTTAATACCCTGGCTCTCATACCCTCGATCTGTATCTAGTTTCCTGAATGTATCAGGGTTTGGCATATAGCTATCAGTGTCCTTATCTTCATTCTTTTTGTATAAGGCATTAGGGTTAAATAGATCACTAGTTTTCGTCAACCTGGGTATTGAGGTGCTTCTGGTGAATTTCAAGCCTCCTTTGATAATTTTATGGAGCCGGTTGACAGCTGCAACAATCTCTTTGCTCTTTTTATACTTCTTCTTAATCTTTTTCAGCTTATTTATGACTTGTACAACTGATCTTTCCTTAGAGGGTTCGAATTGCTTTGACTTCCTTTGCTTTTTCCTCGAAAATTCCTCTGTTAGTAAATTATTTTTATCTGTTTGCATGAACCGGCTAGTCTGTATCTCCTCTTGACTCTCCATTACTCCTGTAGCTTTGAGTGCATCTTCTCCTGAGATATAATTTAACCCAAGGACCACTGAGTACAGTTCGTCTATCTCTTTAAGCACTTTCTTCTCAGGTGCAGTGATTCAGGCTTTATTGGAACATCTCTTGGTTAAAAGCCTGCTACTTATTGCTTCTGTTTGCTCGTAAATTTCTGCATCAGTACAGTATCTCCAGATGTTCTCTGAGACATCCTTGGATACTGGCTTTGGCAACTCAAGTTTGTTTTTCTTAAGAATGTTAGAGATCTTTTTGTAAACATCCTTTCTGGTTTTGAGGTTTTCCCTAGAGATCAATAGAAGCTTACCATGGTTTAGGATTTCAGGTAGAAATCTCCTGATATTGAAATTCTTGTGATGCCCCTATAGCTTCAAAAGTAGGCAGGACTCCCTCATGTGATGTTGAAGGTAAATTTTTGCGGCTTGTTTTCTTCAGCTTAGAAATCTTTTTCCTTGAGGTCTTTTTGAGCGCCACAGCTGATCTCTTATGCAATAATCTAGGCTTTTCAGCCCGAGCCAAGCTTGAGCGATTGCAATTTGTTTCTCTGAGTTTGGTTTTTGGATGGATGTTTTCTTTACTGTAGACATGAGTTAGGTTTGTTGAACATTCTTTATGATTTCGATTTTCAAGCTTGATATTTATGAAGAAGAAACTTTAGTTTAAAATATAGGCACTTCTAGTTTGATTTTTAAAGAAAATTAATTTAATAAGAATGCTAAAGTATTACAATCAATATTATTCCAATAAAAACTGTTTAAATTCTTTATCAGATTCATGAGAACTTTCTTTTCAAAACTGATATTCAAAATGACTAATATGTATTAACTCCTAAGCTTCTTTCTTCACCTTCTCACAGTCAAATATCTTGAACGTACTAACTATAGAAACTTACTTAAGAGCTTTTCTAGACTTCCTTCTGACACTGCTCTTCTGTAAATTATCAGAAGGGGCTTTCAGAAGTGCCCTTGAAGTCGAAGCTACCTTTTCTTTATATTTCTGACAAGAAGACTTATTGTTCATAATATTTTTCTCACTTTTCAAATTCATTTGAGTCTTTTCCTTAAGAGCTCTCTTCATCTTCAGAGACCCTGCATCCTGCTTTGAGGATAATTTATGGTAAGTAGACAGACTTTGGGAGGTCTGGTCAGGTCTTCCCTCTGTTGCTCCTTTTTGCCTCTGCAGGCTATGCTCAAGCCCGATCTGGGTCTAGGTTTAATATGGGAATTTACTAATTTATCACGGTGACAAATTGATCCTAAAACGATAAGAATCAGGAGGCCTTACTCTTGAAACTCTTCTTGGATAACTTTAGAGTTGAGGAGCTGCTCATTGGTCCTGGTACATTTGACCCATATCAGCTCTCCCCTAATCTTTTCGAATTCATGTTTTGGGATTTCTCTGCTTTGGATAATTTTTGAAATGTCTTGTTGCCTTTTCCAAGTGACATGTAGCACTAAAATTTTGATTTACATGAAAAGAAGCATGAGTTTGTCTTTTGAAGAGGGATTTGATAATTCCTTTGGCAAGACATCCCTTCGGTAAAAATAATGGGTTTCCCACAATTCAGGTGAGAAGCCAATTTAAACCTCACCAACATCCCTCTCACCCCTTTAAACCCCCTCCATCCCCAAAACCCTCTCAAAAATCCCCCAGCACCCCCTCAACACCCCTTTTTACCCTAAAAATCCCCTATCCACTCCTATTCACCTCTAAAATCCCCAAAACCCACTTAAAACACCTCTCCAGTTACCTCCACCTCTATTTTTACAATTCAAATATTAATTAAGGAAGTGGGGTTTTGGGGTTTTGGGGTTTTGGGGTTTTGGGG